CAACCACGCGAACGCTTCATCAATGTGGACGACCGTGAATCGAAGAAAACCCGACCAAGATGATAGAAATTCGAAAGTACCTGTCGAGCGGCGTTATTCTGAACCAGATATCGAATCATCAGAAAAGATTACATTTTTACGTCAAGACAGACCAGATAATCCAACATTGATACATGCTTGCAATGTAAATAAACATGATGACGTTATTGTAGCGGAACAAAAATGCCCTCCACAGGACATTATTCCTTTGTCACTATCTTCTGCAAGAAACTCAAAAGGTATATTGTCGACATTGAGTACATCTGTATGATTTATACATGAAAGTCCTACAAGTTTACAGCTTCTTGATCGACCAAAATATGATGGATTTCATTCTCTGAGCTCCCATTAATGAACAACCTAAGGAAAACTAGTTACCACAAAAATCAGCAGATTCTATGAGTTCTGTGTAATTTCAAAGAATTTGCACTTTCTATCCTGTAAATCAGAAATCAGAGCAATGAATTCGATTATCGAATCGAAAATTTTCTATGAATATATACATAAAAAAACTAATTGCAATTTTTGGAAAGTTTTCGTGAGCAATATTTTCATATTTTGATATGCAATACACCACATGTTTATTTATTTCTAGTGCTAGATCCCGATCAATGTTTATCATGGTCTTGTGAAGATGTTTGTATTTGGATAAAATCATGGGGTGAAATATACGAAACTTATATAGATGGCTTCAAGCGGCACAACGTCAATGGATATCATTTACTTCATTTTGTTGACAATCAAGCTCTGAGGGAGTTTGGAGTTGGATGTTCATATAATCGTCGAGTTATAATGCACGGTATCAAAAAATTGAAAGAACGATTAGCAGTACCGTTGTCATCAAGCATCCATTCTCTCAATGATTATGATGATGAGTTTGATGGAGATTTCGTTCCTCCTCTGTATCTTTCAGATACGACATATCCGAATACTATGTCATGCGTTCTGAAACCTCTTCAAAACCATATCCATTCGAAACTGTATAATCAAATTTTAGAATGGCTTGGACCATTACCCAAGGACACAGACATTGACAAGATAGAACTTATTCACAACTCTGATTTATATCGAATATTTCTTCAACAAATAAAGCGTACAGAACGTAGACAAAAACAGCAGGAATTTCAACCTGATTTGAATACAGAAACTAATCCAAGTGAACGAAGAAAAGTTCTTTATCGTCTACATATGTTGGCACAACAAGTTAAGCACAATCGACAAGCTTCAATCATTCGTGTTTGGCATGGATGTAAACGTATTAATTTACCCAAATTACTATCAGATGGGTTTGCAGCACTTAGCAAATTGGATAAGGGATGGTATGGCACAGCTATGTATTTCACATCATCGGCTGAGTATGCTACAAAATATACCGATCATAACGGTTGTTTAATCATGTGCTATGTTGTCTTACTCAATCCATTTCCTGTCATTACAGATGATGCACCACCTAATGTATCTAGCAGTAATTTTCGTTTCTATGGCAGAGGCAATCATTCTAATTATCAATGTCATTATGTTCCTGTGGCACCTGTTAATAACGATACACATTGGAACTTTCGTCCACCGTCAAATGGTGCTCAGAATGCAATGTACGATGAACTTGCTGTTTTTCAACAGGCTGATATTTTACCTCAAGTAGTTGTTCATCTGAAACCTGGAACTATGTCCTCCATTGCTGTTGCCTCTGATAGGGATCCAGAGAGTATATTTCTCTCTAAAGAATGAAATCAGTGAAATAGAAGAGATTTTAACGTCAGTAATTTTTCAGAACAATCTAGAATGTATTTGATCCTTTTTTTTTATGGAATTTTGTTTTTTTATTCTATCTCAAGAATAAAACAAAGAAAATTTCTAAGAGTCTTCTAATGTTAAAATTGACTGTAGAACTTATGAAAAAAGCAATATAGTTATAATAGCTTTGTAAACAACCACTGCAACATTTTATTGTTTTGACTTGTATAAATTATTCTTTTTCAATAAAAAAAGAATATTTTCTGTATTTGAACTGACATATTCACCATTTAATATAACAATCAACTACCGTTTCCATTCAGTTTTCAATGCTTCAATGTGAAATGTTGAATCCAGTAATTGTCTCGAATCATGACAAAGATCCATGTTTCTTTATCGAATAAATAAAAGTATACACATCATTCTTATGACATTAATAATTTTTTATTTTTCAGCGTTTTAATATAGAATCAAGAGAAGACGAAAATTAATGCCTAGATAGTTTCATTTTGTTTATTAGCAATAAATAATCAATCAATTTCTGAAAATAACTATGCATTAGATGTATCAAAATATCTAAGTATTATATTGTCTTGTTTTTCTATCTTTCATGTTGTTTTAAAATTATTTTGAATTATTTTTTTATACACCTATACACAAAACTTTCATAGTGGTTATTCTAAAAGTTTGTAAGCTTCCATAATGAAATTTTTTTTTCATGAGAAGCTTTGATTATAAAGATTTTATTTATTGAAGCATGAAATTGTCAGGATATAGAAGCGACAGAAAGTGGAGGTCAGAATCCCAATGTGAAGCTAAATTTCTTTTATTAACCTTCATAAAAGGTCTTATTTTTATGAATGCTTAGTACATTTCATAATGTTTAGCGGTATGTATTTTCATTAAAACTTAGTGTATAGCAAGACTGTCTAATGATTATAATTTACTCGTAATAAAAAAGACGACAAATTGTCAACATTTATGCAGAAACATTCATTACTTAAAAGTGGATAAGAGAAGCATCATTTAGTAGTCCTCTTGAGCACTCCATTTTTTGCGTTAGCACTTATTGTATACAAGAAATAGTTATCACAGAAGATCACATCACTTCTCATACAATCAATGCAGAATGTATAGCATATTATGTAATCTTGCTTGAGATTATGCCATCTTGCTGAGCACTATGTTTTGTTCAAAATACGTGTTGCTAGACACCACGGAGTGCATTAAGTTTTTATAGGATTTTTTTATTTTTACGAAAGTTAATGAGAGGAACTTAAGTCTGAGCTGAAAAAACACTGAAATTTTGCACCGAATCGAAACTCATGTAGCACATAGAAAGTGTTCGTAATTAGTCAATTTTCTTCTAGTACAACTGTTATAAATGTTCGTTTTGTATTAGATTCACGAAACGCTAGATATAGAACAAATACGACGTTTCCTTTTGTAACGAGTTTGAATTCGATGAATAAATTTGACGAACTGTGGACACCACCAACTTAACACTACTGTTAATCCACCGTATAAACCCAACAAAGTACTTGCTACATGAAGTGGATTTGCATTTTCAATATATGAATATGTACAAATATTCGGTGCACATTTAGCAAAGTAACGATCATAAGAAATATTTGTTGACCATTCTTCCATAAATAATTTGTTTACTAAATCATTCACTGTCGTATTGATCTGATATCGTGAATGAGTGATAGAACTCGTATTGAGAGGAACTGCAAGAGTTCGATGAATCTAAAATGATTTTTTTTTATCACGTTATTACAATATTTATTTATTAAAAATAAAATTTATAGTTAAATAACTCACATAACCAGACATATGACTCCGAATAATATTGATACAATCAATATCGAAGAAACATTCAAGTGTTGAAGCTAAGAACGATTCACTTGGTAAACATCCAATTAATAGACCTTTCACTGTAGCGTAGTCAGGCCAAGTAAAAGCAGCTTGTGAAAGACATTTTGATTGTAATCCACATGAACAATTTTCAGATCCATAGTAAATTATTGGTAATGTATATAATACTGTTGATGAACCCCTGCGAGTATTTCGAGCGATAAATTCATAATTGCTTCCATAAACAGTCATAAGGACATTCCCATGATTGATTGCTTGTACTGACTCTAATACACGAGCAAACAATGTAGGTATGTGCGCTTCAGTTTGATATAATAAGTATGATAATTGTTTGTTGAACGATGTTTGAGATAGAAGTCGACTGGTAATAAAATAAGTTGAAGTAAATGAACGTAATGTATCATTTACATGTTTTATTGCTTGATAACATAGACCGGAGAGAAATTGTAGATGTGCAGAGAGAAAATGACGATAATCATTTGTTCGTAAAAAGTCAGACAAATTCTCAAAATCTACAAGAAGAGCTTCACGCCATTCGTCTTTGACAAACGCACTTGTACATATCTAAAATGAAATCAATTCTTGTAATCGAACATTTTAAAATTTAATTTAGTTTTTAGAAATCCAATAAGATTGCAGATACTTCTCATTTTTCTTAAACTTCCCATTCTGAAATAAATAATTAATGCTAATTTCTTTTTTTCACTCACTTGATGAAAACGTGTTTCAATGTTAACAAATTCGTTCAATGGTATAGATGCTCTTGTGCATGGACATTCAACTGTTCCGGTCTGTTTAGTTTGTAATTGTTGAGCACCAAGTAATGAAGGATTATGAAGTTCTGTTGTTGCAGTTCGTTGTTCAAATGAAGTGTACAAAATAAGTATTGTTAGACCAATAGCATAACAACATATGTAAAGTCTAGTTGTAAGACGATCAAGTTGTATTCTTGTAATCTGATCAACATGTCGACCAAATGAATATGTTTGAAATAAAGTAAAATCAGTTAGTTTTGTTTTTAAAGCTTGAGATAGCCATTGATAAAAAGTACGAAATCGTTCGCTTACTGATATCCGTTCTACTACACATATGTTTAACAGAAAAATAATAAATGATATTTGTATTTGTATGAAGAAATAGTCAAGACTTACCTATATTATTATTTTCTTTGTCTACTGATTGATGTCGACATTGTAAAACAAGTTTTACCATTAATGGAACTAATAAACTCAATGCAAGTGTTAAACCACCATAGACAGTTAGAAACATTCTTATAACGTATAGATAATTTGCACGTTTAACATATGTGTACCAACATATACTTGGAGCACATATATTAAAATATTGTACATAAGATAATGATTTTTTCCATTCTTCTACAAATAGATTATCAGCTAGTGTGGATACAGTTGAATTACTTGAAGTTCGAATTAATTGAGAAATATTAAGTGGTGGAACCGGAACGGCTACATTTGTATAATTAATATAACGAAGTAAAATAAATTGAAGACAATTTGTATTAGAATACAAACATTGCAATGTTGAAGAAAGAATAGAATCCATTGCTGAACAACGCCATACAAAACCTGGTACAGTCATTCTTTTTGCAGCATGAACAATTACCATTGGTTCTCCACAACCTAAATGCAAAGCGCATAAACATTTTGTATCTTCATATATATTTCCAGGACGAGCAAAATCAAATTTGATCTTAAAAGAAAATCGTTTAAAAGATATTGATTGAAATTTTCTTACCTTAAGGTTTTCTTTATCAGATTGAAAGGTTATATGAAGTTGTCCATTATAGGTTGATCCTGCAAAATATTGATTAACTTGAAAAAGTAATCGAAGAATATTATTGACACGTTCAAATTCAATTTGCATAGAATGAATTAAGTGTTGTAATGTATTATCGATTTCACTACGTAGTAAACCTTCCTTGAGTAATCGAGTTGTAACTATAGTACGTGTACGAAATACTTGTAAATCATTGTTTACAGTATTATGAGCTAATTCACATAATGCAGCTAAGGATTGGAAATAACCGAGAGACATTACTCGCCAATCAGACATTACAAATGCTCCACCTCTCAATAATTTTAATTGATTTAACCATATAGGTTTGATGAATGCACTTGAACATACTGGATGATATATAGGAGTTATATTAATAAATGATCCATAGTTAGGAGTGATTTCCGAGCAAGAACAAATAAGTTTATCTGAATATTTCATATAAAGTTGTTTATAAATAGTATATGATGGATGATCATAAATTACACTAGTTGTTTGTTCACTTAATGTTGTGAATAATAATAGAATGAATTGAGACCCTATTTAATACATAAAGGGTGTTCCAGAAGTTCTGTTACAATTTTGAAATTCATTGTTCTCGTGTTCAACAAAAGCAAACTTCTTGAAACTTTCGCAGATTATTATACATATCAAGTACTACATAATAACAAATTTGAGGTCTATAACTTTTACTGTGGATAATAAATAGTAACAACATTACCATGTACTATTTTTTTAGTTTTTCAGTAGCAAAAATTCGATATAAAAATGGTAGAAGAAATGTTATTTCCTGGGTCTGTTTAGTTATTCAGTGTTAAAGGATCGATTGATTCCTGTACTATCATATTCTCGTATCTCCACATAGTCGAACTACTGCAGCACAAAAAAGCAGCTGAACAATTAGGTGACAAAAAATCTGTTTTTTTTTTCATATGATCAAGATCGTAAACAAAGGATTCAAGTGATATTGGATACTGTTACAGATGTTTTTATCAATCGAATTAAAGCATTAAATTGTGATGGAAAATTAGCAGACATTTGGCCTATTGAAAACGTCTGGGGGATATTGAAAGACTAATTACGAGCTCAAGGATACAGTAATATTGAATAATTGAAAAACGATAGTAAAAGGAAATGGCTAAAATTTAGTGCTTCTTTATGTAAACAGATGATAGATATAATACTCCTACGATTAAAACTACTTATTGATCAAGGTTGTAATCAAATGCGGGAACACTAATAACTTGATTTGCGTTTTTATTTTATTTTAAAAGTTGTATTGTTTTTAAAATCAACCAAGATGACGAGGAAAATTAAAAAAATAGTACATGACAATCTTGCTACTGGTTCTCACCAATAGTAAAAGTTGTAGATCTCAAACTTTGTAGTTGTGTAGTACTTGATATGTACAATAATCTGTCAAAGTTTCAAGAAGTTTGCTTTTGTTGAACGCGAAAACAATGAATTTCAAAATTGTAACAGAACTTCTGAGACACCCTTTATATATACATATATGTTAGTGTCCAATCTGAGATCAAGAAATAAGTTTTTGTTAAAGCCTCCTTTAGTGTATAGATATATATTGTATTTGAATTCTTTTTGAAGAACTATGTTGAAACAATGACATTTCAAGCAATACTAATATTGTTGGAGAAATTAACCCTTTAACTGACGCCGACGTATATATACGTCATGAACTTTATTAGTGTACAAAACTAGCACAATCAATCGTAATACATATTTTTTTATATTCGTCCGCATAGAGATAAGCATCAAATAGCTGAAGCTTGTGATACCATCGTTTCATAATGGCATGCTCTAGAATTATGTCTTAGAAAAAAGAGTGTGCATAGAGAACAGTCAGTGTGGTGTACATATGGTTGTCTTTTGTTCTCTTGCTTCTTTTCTTTATAATGCATGAGAAGCACACAAGCCATATCTTTCTCGTTTTTTTATACATTGGGGTTACTTCAGTGCATTTTCTTGTCTTCTGTTCTTTTAGACATTATTCGAGACCTCATCTCAAAGTACGGCTCTAAGAGGTCACATATTGGCAGACCATTGAGTGCTCATCCACTACGATTGACGACCAGACATTTTCCGTCTTTAATTCCTCCAAATGAAAGCAAACAGACTTCTCAAAGAAGATGTTATGTTTGCAGTAATACTGAACAATGTGCTAAGGAACGACGTGATACTCGCTACCAATGTACCGAATGCGATGTTGGTCTGTGCATCACCGACTGTTTCAAAGATTTCCATACCTTACAAAGGATTTAACGTTATCTTATATAAATACGGAAAATTAGATCGAAAATAAACAACTATGATGATTTTCTGTAAAAATTTTTTCTTTCCTTCATGTCGTCAGTTAAAAGGTTAAAGGACAATTTGTGACGTTATGGATAACTTTCTATAGTCGAACAGCTTTTATGAAAAATTATTTATAAGCGCTTGAGTCTGAACTTCGTTTCTTCATGAATGATTGTAATACCTGAAATGTCATTGTTTCAACACAGTTTATCAATAACAATTTGAATCCGACATTTATCTAGAGACTAATGGAGGTTTTAACGCAGGCTTCTTCCCTGATTCGACATTGAACGGCAGCATATATATGTATGTATATATGTTTATCCGAATAAAATCAACCTGCAAAAACAAAATGCAAACTCACCAATTAATAAACAAAGATAAAGCCTTGTTGATAGTCGTTGATGATGAATTGTTTCCGGTGATTTATCAGTTGTTTTAAATAAGTTCAAATTGATAAGACTTTTTTTCAAAATACCAAAATAAATTATTGATCGCTCTATAATTCTTTCTAGAAAACAAAACAAAAAAGAACAAAGAAGATTTCCAAATATTTAACTATAAAGTATATGTTTTTGATAAGGTTCAATTATTTCTTAGAAAACCTGTGAATTATATTATCAAACTCACTTGGTGTACTGTTTTGATTTTCTCCATTTGTAGCATTATTATCGATAATATTGGATCGCTTTTTTAATATATACCTGACAATCAATGGAACGATAAATCTCAAGATAGTCCGCAGTCCACTATAGACACTAATGAACATGGTAATCGTATAAGCAAAATTAGCTTGTTTTCTATACGAATAAGTACACATTTTCGGAGCACATGCAGCATAGTAATGATTATAATCGATGGAGATTCTCCGTTGTTCAAGAAAAAGTTCTTCAACCAGTTGACTAACACTTACGTTTCGAGAATATTTACTTGCTATTGAAGCATTTAGAACTTTAATTGTTGGAATTAACTAAATCAAATGGATATAATATTTTGATTATCATTAAAATATCTATGGATTTTCTTTTTCTCAAGTATGGTGAAAGTTCCTTAAGGCAAATACTATCACAAGTTTTACTGTCAAGAAACAATATTAGATTTTTTAATTTTAATAACGAAAATAAGATTCACCTGTATTTTCATATTTGGATAAACTTTCAAAAAGAAAAATACACTTTTTACAATTTCTATTTTATATTTTCTTTGTATGAAAATGTATTGCTTACTTTCATAAATACTCTAATTATTCATCTTTCTTACTTGAGCAAGTCGCGGAAAGTAATCAGCTAATGTCTTAATACATTTTATATCATAAAGACAAATAAATTTTGCTTGAAATACAGCTTCATACGGCGTGCACGAACCGACAAAGCCAGGTACTAAATCGGAAACATCGTGTTCTTGAGGTACTAGTTTTGTATGAAGATAAAAATCGTTCTTATCAGCAAAAGAATAGAAACCGGCAGGTAAAGTGCATGTATTAATATGACAAACACAGATGGTTGTTTGATTATTAGCAGTCCAATGCCATCCTGTATAACTTGAGATATATTTGTAAGTTTGAAAATTTACAAAACGACTTGCAGAATAAACAATATTAGTATTCAGTGCTGAAGAAATAACATTACTTTGTGTTGATAATTTGATTAATTTCAATGCATTATTTAAACGTACTGTCGTATCACTTAGAATCCGTTCACTGCTGATTTTAGTTTGAATAAAAATTTCATTTTCTCTCAATAAATTGCTAGAAAGCAATTGTGTATCATTTAAATTAAATAATACATCAAAAATATTGTCACGTGCTAATGCACATAATGTTTTTAAGACTTCGAACTATGTATAAATATTTTAGAAAAAAAAAATTTAACACAAATTTTAAAAAATGTTTATTTACTTGTGAACTTGCCGTTGTTCGAAAGTCAATTGCACTATAACGACTAGCATCAGGAATGAAAAGAGCATGAATCCATTGTTTACTAATAAAATCACTTGAACAAATTTGATGCATCGTCATTTCAGCGATTATAAACTGCTTATAAGGCATTGTATTAATCAAACAAGGACAGTTCAAAGTTGCTGAATATTTATCTTGAAGTTGTTGATAGGTCTTAAGTGATGGATTATGAATTGTAACGATTATTTTTTGCCAACTGAGTAATGTAGACATTATCAGAATGAACAAAGAAACTTAAATAAGAATTTATATAATATTAATAAATTTATTAGATTTCATTTACTTGTGAGAGATATGACGTATACTCGTGTAGCAATTCGTTGCTCTTGTAATAATTGCGGATTAGTATTAGTTGTTTGCTGAGAATGGCCATTATTCACATTATAGTTTTGATCCTCGGACATAAATACATTCCATTCAATTAGATATTGACGAAACTTGTTAAACATGTTTGGTGATTTTGGATGCAAATAATCGGTTAAAATTGAATATTTTTATGTAGACTAAAAATATATTTCTCTGAAAATTTAAAACATTGTCATCTGAGTTTGCATGACGTTTCTTTGAAAAGTTTCAATGATTTTCTTCTTCAAGAACTCATTCAAATTTGAAATTGATTGAATTTTCTAGTTATATCAACCTGGGTATGTATTAGTCAAAGAATTCATTTTGGTATGAAGAAACTAATCAGAATTATTTTCAATTGAGATACAAGGTTGATTTTCCACTAGTGTTAACATTTTAAATATATGGAATCTCTATCTTGACTAGAAATAAATAAAATTCTGAAAATCAACTGATCTGAATCTAATTCTATATTCTTTAGTTGTAGACATGAAACTTACTCGTCTCCTATTATTATATATCAAAGTACTCCAATGACTATCCATATCGTCTTATAACAAAGACTTGTATATGGGCATGAGATGTATAAAGTCTCGAAATTGAATAATTTTTTGATGGTTCGTAACGGGGTCAAGTATTACTCATGTCTATCCAGCTCGATTTCTACTCTATTAGAGCCTGGTCCAGCTCAGAATCACACTATTAAAAGTATGTCTTTTACAGAAAAGATTTCTACATGATGAAACTCCACAATCATTGCAGAAATTTAATAGAACATTATAAAAAAATTTTTAATCATAGTGATAATGAATTGAATAAAGTCAGACAATTTTAATACTTGAAAAAAGAAAATAGCATGAGAGATGAATGGAATTATTTATTAGACCGAAAGACCAAGATGCGTTCGTGAGTAATGAAACTTCTTAGAGACTATCATTTATTAAAATAAGATTTCACAAGTAAAATAGACGCTGATCAATTTCAAAGAGTCAGATAGGTTACTATTTTAATTTATATTGTTAATATGAATGCAAAATTAATACTGTTCCACTTCAATTACACTTATGACACTGACTGTAGTTGACAATGCACTCGACCTTGTGTGTCGATAACCAATGTCATTGAACTGAATAAATATTCAGCTGTTATTTATTGGCTAAATGAAACTTCGAAAACCTTCATATAATAAATATTTCTGATTGTTACCAGTTGCGAGGTGTAAAATTCACCGAAGAAATTTTGACGAAAAATCAGAATAAAATTGATTAAAATGGTACTATTTAATTCTAATTGAAATCTGATTTTTCAGCTTTGAAGATATATTGCAATGGATTTTAGTGCTGTTTAATTAATTAATAAAGTTTTATCGATTGAAACTGGTTTAAGAACGATAAATATCAAATGAAATCTATCTTCAAAAACAAGAAATCAAGTTCAGACTGGACAGCACAATAGACTTTTAGGATGGCTCGGTCCAAAAGGAAAATCTCACCCGATCGGGTGGCACATTTCAAGATCTGAGATGTATGGCATGTTGGAAACAAAATAAACAATAACATTTAGACAAATAAAGCAAATGAACGTATGACACTACTATATAGGATTATTATTTCTGTCTATCTTTGTTTTATACCATCATGAATAAAGATCATAATGGAACAAGAACTTTTTTTCATTAAAGAAAAATAAATAAAGAATTGTTAGTTTCGGATCAATTTTTTTAAAATATTTCTTAAATAGATTTACCTGTACTGTGTTTGTCTTGTTGTCACAGTTAAAATATATTATATTGCTGGGAGAGTAACTCGTTTATGAAGAGGTTTTTATTCAAATGTAGTAGTGTTTGAATACCTTCATCTATTGTTTTTTTTTTACATTTATTTAGAATATTTTAGCTTTACTCGTCCTTTCTAACCTCTTCTCTCTAATTAGGAAAAAAAAAATTTCCAGCAAAATCATGCCGTTATCCCATCTGGTAAAGTTTTTTTTGTCGTTTTACTTAACAGAATATTTTTGTTTAAATATATATATATACAAAAACGGATATGTATATTCATTTTTCTATTGTTTTTTATTTGTCTAACAATGTTCTTATCTAATTTCATTCGTTAAAAGCATTTCATTATCGATAAAACTAGATATTTCCATCTGTTCCTTTATATTATTGTGCATAAACTGTTTTGTATGTTAGAATTTTCTCGATGGTAATTAACACGAAAGCAAAGAATATCTATGAAAAATTCATTGTAAAGTTAAATAGTCATGAAAATAATTTCAATTCTATCTAAACAGAGATGAATAATATAAATTTTCAATTTGTTTGAAATTTATGAAATTAAATTTCTATGAAGTTAGTCGTTTTATTTTAACCGAAAAAAGAAAGTAAATAATACATCCAAGGAATAAATAGAAATATTTATAATTTATTTATTTTTCTATATATACTTTTGTGTTTCGTTGATTAATCATTGATCAACTTATTTGATTTTCAAATACTTTACGACTAGCATCCGAGGTAGTTTTCATAGTCATTCTTTTTCTTTCTTTGCCTTGATTTGATAATTGCTTGTCGCAAAGCACATGCATATAAGAAAAAGTGACAAATTTTTATTGATCGATACAGTTCTATAATATATCATTGTGTTATTTGTATTGTCAAGGAAACAAATTAATCAAGACAATTTGTCGTTTTCTTTTTTTCTTTATGCCGTATAGGCAATATGTATACACTGTATTGTTCGTGTTCATTTGAACGTAATATCAGTGTGCGAAAAACCTTCAATTGTATTTGATAAGATAAAATTAACCTCACACACGTTTACTTGTCGCTTTCTTCCTTAAAAGTATATTTATTCATTCAATCATATATAAATATTCGATCGATAAATACAATTTCTTATAGAAAAATTTGATACAAACAATCAGCATCTTCATTTATTTATACATATATTCTCATTCAAAAGTAATTAGAACAACTACTATTCGTAAATACCATGATTATCCTGATTGATTACGAATAAAAAAAGACCTCTTCATAGTAACCTATATGACTGTCACTCGAAAAAAAATTTGTCGTATATTCACACCGCCTTTAGTTCACACTTCATTTATCTCTTCATTATTTTATGACCTTCTCTTGAGCGTATCTTTCTATAAATTCAGACAGATAACCGTAAATTACATAGAATAATCAACATACATATCAACATATATGTAGTTTCTTTTTTTCTTCTTCACATATTTCATTTTTTAGATTGATTTGGAATAATAGTTAATGTATAGAAGTTTTTATTATTAATATGTATTCCAATGTATCTACTCAATTTGCTACAACACCTGTTTCAGCTTCTGAAGTTAATACAACTGGCCACCAACAAACTCATATTAATCTATTAAATTTTATTGGTACAGCTGCAGTTGGATTGATAGCACCTACACCAATTAAAATTTCAAATAATAATATGAATACTATTGGAAATGAATCATCTTCTCAAACAAATGAAACTTCACAAAAAATAATTTTTCTCGAAAATCTCTACAAAACTGTATCACTTCGCGAAAAGAATACATTACAATTATATGATACACGAAAAACTCAAAAACGTTTATCGGATTCTATTTTAGCACATCAAAAACATTTATCAATAATAAGTAATATTCATTCTCATTTACAACAACCGCAATCGCAACCACAACAACAACTACAAAATAATTCTAATTTTCAACAAGATCAAAATAATAATAATGCATTAACTCGTCATGCTTCATTACGTTATAGAAGAGCATCAACAACTCTTCAAACAATTCATCAACAATCTTCTTCAATGACTCAACATGAACCTCAAAAAGTTTTTGTTATTCGTCATGGTGAAAGAGTTGATTCAACATTTGGTGCTAATTGGCTTGATCAAGTATTTGATAAAACGACAGGTGCTTATCGAAGAGTTAATTTAAATTTACCGAAAAAAATGGTTAAACGAAAAGATTTAAAAGACTTTTTATTTGATCCACCATTAACTGAATTAGGTTTACATCAATGTAAAATAGTTGGTGAAGAACTTGTTGCTCAAGGTATTAAAATTGATCATGTTTATTCGTCACCTGCCTTACGATGTGTACAAACAGCTGATAAAATTCTTGAAGGTCTTCAAATGCGTGATAAAATACCAATTCGTATTGAACCTTGTCTTTTCGAATTTCTCAAATGGTATCCTGTCGTACCGGTAAAATGGCCTTTTCTTGATTTAGATGAATTAACTCAAAATGGATACATGGTTAATAAATCTTATAAACCTTTTTATCCAATTGAAAGTCTTAGAAAGGATGAAGATGAATTAATGTTTTATACAAGAAGTCATTTTATAACAAAAGCAATTTTAAAAAATCATGAAACTGATGGAGGAAATTTACTTATTGTTGGACATGTAAGTGTAAGAAATGAATCGTTTAATTTTCAAAAATCTTTATTATTTAGGCACCGACAATTGAAGTATGTACTCGACAATTAACCGGTGGTCAACCACGGATTAATGATTTGAAATATCTTGTTTTACGTGTTCCATATCTATCAATGCATTGTGTTGCTAAACAAATTGATGGAACATGGAAATCAACCAAACCACCAATTTTACCAAATAAATATACAGCAGTTGAACCATTTGAATGGAGATTTTTTCGATGAGAAATATTTTCATAAAAGTTTCTCTTTTAATTTTTAAAGAAAAAAAAAACACTTGAAAAGCTTTGTTTGAAATATTTTCTTTTGAAGAATTAATATATATTTTTTGTTGTCTATAATATTGATAAATTTGTTTCTCTACCACAAATGTCCATTGCGGCTGAAAACCGATCAATGGTGTGTCACAATGCTATTCTAAAAAAGTTTCACTGCTATGAGTGTACTGTTGATAGAAGTTCTTCACCTAATAAATTAACCTACGGAGATAGATCCTAATTAGATTAGTTTATTGCGAAAGTCCCACATCTTTTGATTTGCTTCTATTCTATAATAAAAACATAGACTCTGCCAATATATATCAGTGACGTACAAGACGCACTATTACCACAGTTGTATCTTACGATTGGAACGGCGACAATATCTAAAACATTCACAAAAATTTATTCTTATTCAGATTCGTTACCGTAAAAATGAAGTATTTCGACAGCAATAAGCTAACAGCACAAACTCTTCTCGAAATAGTCATAGTTCATTCTGGTCTACTTAATGCATATAGTCTTCATCCAAAAGCGGTTTATTTGCAGAAAGACTTCTCGCGTGAGTCAGAACTGTTGTAACTAATCCATGAGACCCGTTGAGTCTCGAAATGTTATATTTGTCGACACTGAAATTTCGTGCAACTTCACGCACCTTTGTAATGTTCTTCAAAAACATAAATAAAGCCTGTTGTTACCGTGCCACTATCCCAATGAACATATCTTTTTTCTTTCAATAAAATTAAAATATTTATCAAAAGTAATATTGATAGGAATGATTTAATCTTTTACTATCGTTGATTTGCGATTATACAAGAATATTCTAATCAAAATATAGGGCAACCTTTTTTTTTCACTTTTGTTGGACGGGTTACACTCTAAAAGTGACAGCCAATTATAATTTGATTATTATAAGATCATCGTCAAGAATTGTTTGAGAAATGTGTAAGGTGTGTCTGTGATAGAATTAAAATAATCGATCAAAAGTATCTGACATCGTCGGAACTACTATCAGATTCAGAGTAGAAAATTTTCTTGAAAATAGGAGTACATTTCCGATGTATGTTCAATATTCTTGAACCACCCGATCGGTTCTTTTAAGATTTGTAGTAAATAAGAGAAAAATGAATATATAACTGTGATAAATAGCATTTTATTAGAATTTTAAACAGAAGTCAATAGATTCGAGCTCTTGTATTTCTTGGAGAACTCATCATAAGAAATGACATCATCAAAGTATGAAAGTAATTTACAGCTTTGTCGTCACTAGAAAATTTAATGCTAAATTAAGAAACATGATTGATAGAAAAATTAGTTCGAATTTATGAAACTTTTTAAGAGACGAATTAAACTGAATGCATCGATGTAAAAAAAAGAAGGATTTGATTCACTACATAAAATAATGAACGTGTTTTAGTGAATGAAATTATGCTATTAACATTTATAACGACAAGTACTTGGCATAATACATTACAAACAATATCAAAATAAACATTAAACCCTAGGAATGAAGAAAATGGTTTTTAAGAACTTTTTTGACGAAGTTGATAACAAGAACAATAAATCACTTGATAACGGATTTCGATCATTTTGCAAAAATGCAAGAATTATGTACTATCACTACATTTTATTGTCAAGTTCTGAACTCGGATTGATGCATTAAAATAATAGATGAAGGCGCATCTCTATTTAATTTAAACTTAAGTCAACATTTATTTTCTGGCGAAAACAATGTTTTATATTCTAGCAAGTTTAATAACTTCCGTAATTTTACTATTCGTCTACAATTCATATCATGCATAATAAAATTATAGATGTTATTACAATTGTTCTATATAAGCTAGTTGTACACTAGTACATGAGCCGATGATGTTGAAGCATGGGAAGAAATGTGAATCAGTGCCGAATACACTTTATGATGGAGTATCTGGGCTTGAGGGAAAGATTAAAAAAAAAAGAAATTATGATAGAAATGTATGAATCCTAACATGATCACTTGGTATCTCGACGAACTCCAGCCATTTCTATTTCGATGATATATATGTATAACATTGATAAAACTTCACCTTTTTAGATATACTTCTGGTATGCTTACATTAGTAACATCAGTGAATCAAATCGAATCGTATTTTAAATAAATAACATGCGCAAAGTTCATGTAAACACTTGTTGCCAATCAGCGTCCGTCAGGAACCTAACATGAGACTGTTTAATGCTTTGTAATCATAACATTAGTCAGAATCTTGTCCTTTCAGATATACTTTAGGGCATTTAGTAGAATATGCTGATAACATAAATCAATAGTGCAAACGCTGTGAAAAAAACAGTTGCTTCCGAAACTATACATGTCTAATTACATTCTATTGCATCAATTGGAGATTCATGAAGACTTCAGGTGGTCAAAAATTGATAGCCGAATAGGTGTTCGCGTCAGAGTCAAATAGGACGAAATGTTTACTTTTATTTTTTACTTTTAGAAAAGATGAGTTTCACGAAAGGGAAAACGCTTTACAACAGTGACGTTTTAACTACTCGTACAACAGATTTAACTTGAGGATAATGTCAACGTGAGATGTCGCTAAAACAAAATTCGTTAATTTAAAGAGAGTTATTCCGAATTCTCTTATAAGTCTCCAGCCAATAAAATAGTGATGAAAATATATCATTTGTTGCTAAGAGCGGCTTGCTTTCTTTAAATATTTTCTTTACACTCGTTTCACTTTCATGTGAAAGCGAAACGAACAGATAGTGGAAAGAAAAAATTCAAAGAAAACAAACTGCTCTTAGCAACAAATGATATATGCTCATCCCTATTTTTATTGGCTGAAGGCCTATAAGCGAATTTGGAATAACCCTCACTGATCAGAAAGATTTAATATGATAAATAATTTATGTCAGAGATAAGTTTCATATGTTGTTAATATCAGCTGTTCAAAATGAATTTCATCTTCAGTGTACTATTGGATTTTTCAATTACGGTGATTTGATGATTCATACAAATGTGATAATGGACTATGCTGTCATATCATGTCATGTCATATAGACGTTTCCAATGATATATTCTGAAAGACATACGATAGCTCGAATCTATTGATTTTTGTTGGATATTGTAATGAAATGCTATTTATAACAGCTATATATTCGTTTTTCTCTTATTTATTTTCGACTGCTTCTTCGTCACTATATGTAATATATGTTTACAGTAATAGAAGAAAAAAAAATTCTCTAATATTTCTTTCTATTTCAAATATGTTATTTTGTATAATCTGTTCTTTAAAATACACTATGTAAAAATGCCACTCTAAAAATTTGCTTATTGTATTAAATGTAATATAAAAAAAAAAAATAATCGTTTTTACTCTTCCTTGTTTTATTCTTTCTCTTAACGTACGTTCGCTGCAACACGCTAAAATGCAACGACGTATTATTTTATGACTCATTTCCTCTGATGTTCTCTTTTTTCTCTTGTTTTTTGCTTACATCTACCACGCATTCAATAAAAGAACCCGATAGAAGCATTTACCTGTAGACAAATACACGTTTGTTTTCAGTTTTGTTTTTCATTTGCCGGTATATTTAGTTATTTTTTTATTAATGACGATTAATCGTTCTTGGCTTGATGGTGTTTGGCATGGTTGGGGTCATACGAGTTTTACATGGCCTATTCAATTAACAGTAAATTCAACAACAAATTCATATATTCTTGATTATGTTGGTCTTGGAGGTAAAAGTCGATTAGAACGATTGGAAGAATTGGATCAAGAAATATATTTTCGTGAACATTTAATTGAAGGTGAAAATTTTTCTGATCAAGATTTATTTATTATTTATAAAATTGATGAAAATCGACTCGAGTTTATAGCATTTGATGATAAAAATCTGTCGATATCAAATAATAATGTTATCGGTACTGGTACTATGGTCAAAGAAATTACTAATTAGACTTAAATAATAATTTGTACTCTTTGTTTATGTTACCTAGTCAACAGCTTTTTTTAAATGAGGCGAAGAAAAGGTTTTTGATCAGATAGATATTTTCTTAACAGATTTATGCTTACGTCGGTTTATGATAACTATTTTAAATTCGTAAGATTTTGCTTTTTAACAATTTGCAGGAGATATGTATTTAACTCTAGTTTTTGTTTTTTCTCGCATCGTAACATTGTTGTGGCTAAAATCGAGATATGCTCACATGTCCAAAAAAAAGAAAACTTCAGAAGTCTGACTGCAATATAGAATAATAATTTTAGATGTTTTCTTTTGTTTTTTGTTCGAAAATTTGAACATGGTTGAACAGTTGTAACTTTTATCTGTTTTACGAAAGTTCACCAAATATATCCATATGTGATCAGATCATATGAGGATTGTAATCGGTCCAGTCGATGATCGACCGGTTTCTTGGGTCTTTTCAATCGGTAAACATAAATCGCTTCAAAAAGAACACTAATTTTCCATTTTACACTCTGGATTTTACAAGTCTTCAAGAAAAAATTTCATGTTATAGTTGTTTACATATATTAGGTTTCTCAAAGATAAATATGTCATGATTTTCTATCTGGCACGAAAAAAGTCATTTACCCGGCAATTGATTGGTAAACTTCAAGTTTTGAATTTTTCAACTCATGAGGAAACCTCTCAAGGTGTCAAAAAATAGCTTTTCGACCGAGACAATGGTAGTTTGATATGCGCTAAAGAATAATAGAGAAGTATGAAATGGCTTGGTTTTCTGAGCCTTCATTGTTGAGACGTCAAAATTTTACTAGAGTTTTCAATAAAAAACTGTGATCCTCTTGGGTCACGTCGAAAATTGACTTTCGATCTTCGACTAGAAACTTTTCACAAACAAAGTTCTTTATGAGATTAGTTGATTGTGGAAGTTATAACTTTTCAAGTATTTCTTTTCTGAAAATGTAAATATATGCGCAAAATTTGCTTTTATACATGCAAGAATTTTGGAAAATGAATATTCTCTTATTAAGGATACTAATGTCCATTTCAGAGTTAAGTGAAGGTGGTAATTTTTTTGAATAGCTCAAAAACAAAAGGAGAGAAATGACTCCAGTTTTCAATACTATCTAGAGTCGACATTACTGCATCTATTTATAGACTCCACAAAAATATTAAGCTTCTTTTCTTTTGAGACACAGCATCGGTTTTAAAGATGACCGTAATCCACTTTGAAAACAATATATTTTCTAAACTATAATACAATGAGTATATAGCTTAGTCTTGCCTCTATCGATCAGCGCAACCCCGAGATCCATAACTGTTTTTCTTCAAAAGATATAAAGAATTTATTTACTGAAGACTACTCATGACAATTTTTCAAAATTTAAGCAGTTAACAAATATCTATCTATATAAATTTTTAGCCATCTTTCATTTCATGACATAATTCATTATCCTTTGGAGTTTGTTTTCCTATTAAGAACGTCATCAATATTCATACATTCAATTTATTTTATGACAAGTAATTGATATGTCTGGAAACTCTTTTGATCCTTTATTTTATTAAATGCTTTTATCCCAAAAGGGTTGTGAATTCGAATCGGTCAATCAAAAAGAAATTCGAAGATTTTAATGCAAATTGAGGATAGAGTCAATACTCATCACCATCATTTGTACTATAAGTACTATAATCCTGATTATTATAACCATGAAGTTCTTCTACAATCTTTTCGACACAAATATCTGTTCTTTTAAATCTTGTCTCATATTGTTTGACATGATTGTTGTAGCTGATTGTTTTCCGCGCATTTTAGCCATATATCCATTCTTATGCTACTTTGTTCACTTCAGCCAAAGTAAACTCTATGTTTCAATCACGAAAACAGGTTTTCATCTTCGCCCAGGCTAATTCAATAAGATTCAGCATGTTATGTCTAATTGTTAAATATAAAAAATAGATATAAGAAAAGAAGAGATATGAGTAGATATCATTTACCGTAATATATCAAGTTGATACTTTTTTGTTCCTCATCCACCTTATTTTTCTTGTGGTAAATTTTTAAAAGTCAATTTTAATAACTCTGCTGTTGAAACATCTTTTTTGAACATGGAACATCGTGATCATCAGGCTACTCAGCTGTCATTTGGCTGTAACATTTCTGCAATAGAACTATACTAAGTGAATCTGTCTCCGAACGTGCTTTCACATCACAGAGTATTGGTTGAATCAAATGAAAACATAGATTCGCTGTGATAAAGAAACTTAATTCATGGATTCTGATGATGTTCTAAAATGGAAAACAAAGTTCAAAGGTTAATGAATCATGTCATGAAATGGAAGACAGCTAAAAATTTATATAGAGAGATAATGTTAACTGCTTAGATTTTGAAAAATTTTCATGAGTAGTATTTAGTAAAATATTTATATCTTTTGAAGAAAAACACTTATCGATCTCGGACTTGCGCTGATCGATAGAGGCGAAAGTAGGCTATTTATATATTGCATCATAGTTTAGAAAGCATATTGTTTTCAAAATGGATTAAGATCATCTTTAAAACCGATGCTGTGTCTCAAAAGAAAAAAAAAACTGGATGTTTTTGTCGACTTTATAAACAGATACAATAATGTCGACTCTTGATAGTATTGAAAACTTGAGTAATTTCTCTTTTTTTGTGTTAGAGTTATTCAATAAATGCCAACGTTCACTTAACTCTGAAATGGACATTAGAAAAGTTACAACTTGCCCAATCAAATAATCTCATTGAGAATTTTGTTCCTGCAAAATTTGAAACCGAAACTCGAAAGTCAATTTTTCATGTCTAAACTTTTCTACTACTCACTAGTAACAGAGTTTTGATTATGGTTTTTCCAAAACAAAATATACTTCGATTAAAGAAATAAAACTGTTTGAGTATTTTGATAATTGCACTTAACCTTGCTCTTGATCTGTTTCATCAGAAAAAATGGCATCTCAATAAAATTTCTTTCAACTCGTGAAATTTGGTTTCGCTAGACCAGTTACAAGTCTGAATCATATTGTTTGATCTTTTAATAATTTCTGCACAATTAAAACAAAATGACTTCTTCACAGTTAATAACTACATGGCATTCGTGCAATAATTTTCTTATAATGAATAAGGATTGAAATATTTAAATAAATCCTTTAAATTAACATTTAAAAAAGAAACTCGAACATTTTCAATTGTAAAGACGGCATTTTCATCAACCATTAAACTTTCATAACAAACAGCAGCATTTATTTACTCTTTTGCTGTCTACATTGATAGTTAGATTACACATTTACATGGCGTTTAGTGAGCGACAATATTCAATAAGATAGAAATTATCAGATTATTCTACTTAGTAATTTTCATTCAAGATATAACATCATGATAACAGGAAAAAAAATCTTTTAAATTTCTATAATCACTCTGATTGAAAATATTTTTTTCTTAGTTTGAGATACTTTCAATAGTCCTTCATATCTTAATTCGATTCGATTTATTGATTACGAACTATTTAGTTATACACTATTAAGACAGGGAAAGCTTGAAATTGTATTATCTTAGAAATAATTCACATATTTAATTAATATTCTGATCTGTTAATAACGATGTTACTCCTTTTTCTTTTCACTGCATTCGTGATGGATCGTGATCATACACAAAACCCAATGAAGAATCTAAAATTACTTCTATTCCTTGTTTATTTTTTTATTTTTATTTTTATTTTTCATTGAAACAAAATAATAAGCATATGTTGAAATCTACATGGTAGTATATTTCTGTCGATTCTGAATTCGGTACGTTTGTCCGTTGGAGAACAAATTTCAATGTCTTTATCGATGAAAGATAATGAATTTACAAGACAGTTTATCGATCTGTTTTGTATCATGACAAGAATTTTTCTATTTAAATACAATCAGTGCGATTCGATGTAACATGATTCATACAAATTATTTTCAAGGCGTATTGATCAATGCTAAGTGGCGTGTTAGAATTAGTATTAAAATTAACTTTAATGCTTCGGTATTATTTGCACCAGAATTAGTCAATGCCAAGATGTTAGCATTAAATCTGCATTATTTGTAATTCCAATACATAGATTACCGACGACTACATTTCGAACACTCTAAACTTGGGATTTTTCAAAGCCAAGCAATTTTGTACTGTTTTAGGAATGCCATTTCCAAATATAAAACACTTTTCTTCTTTTTTAAGGAATAGCACTTCTGGATATAAACACTTTTATTCTGTTCCCAGGAATATCACTTCCATGTAGAAAAGTCTTTCTTCTGCTTCTGGAAACAGCATTTCTAGATATCAAAACTCTTTGTTATGTTATCGAAAGCTTTCGAAGATGAAATTTTAGAGATATGATCGCATATTCCATATGTATTATAATAAAAAATAATGTTAATTTGATGTTAACAGCTTGGTATTAATTAATTTTAAAACAAACCATATTAAAGCAATAAGGGTAGTGTTAAAATTAATGCCTAAAGTGTAACTATTACTCTAATTCTAATGTTAATCTAACACTTCTAATCCAAGGATTAACTGGTTGTACGTACATAACTTAAACTCGTCATTTATTTTTCTGTTAAAATGATTTGTATATTTCATTCGATTTTTAAATATTTCAAAACAAATAACTATCAAATTGAACTCATTTTAAACACAGTTCTTCATGACATACTTCCTGCCTACCTGCCGAGAAAGTTTTCGAACTATTACAGGAAACTATAGCTGATTCGACAGAGGCAGAAAGTCACTCTGGACTGTCAGTAGCCACGTGTCTTACCATTAGGTTAGTCATGTGTACGTGAGACGCTAAACTTCACTGACTAATGAACAGATAGATCAAAAGTGCGTGAACGCACGAAATTCAGTATATTGTGGTTGCTGGAAATTTCGTTCATGTTTCCATCATTCCAAACAATAACTTATACTGAAACAAATGCCTATGACTCAGGAACAAAGCTAATACATGGTTATACTCTGATATATCCCGGTTTACTCAGCGACAAGTAGACCAGATTAGCGTTTGGCTTCGGAACCTGCATGAATTAAACGGCAATAGCAGCGTGAAAAACCAGTAGTGATGAATGGGAAGCAGTAGACAAACATATAATTAGGATTAGAATACAATGTGAATCAGTTTCTGTTAATTTGATTTTGATTTATGCTACAGTGAACCCATCTAGCAGAAACATGGTAGACAATAGCGAGGAGTTTTACTTTCACCTTCAGAAAGCTATTGATAAGTTATCAAATAGCTAATTATGTGTCATAGTGTGAAATTTCAACGCAAGAATATGCCAACAGCAGCATCAAGCAGTGCCTGAAACAATAGGACCTCAAACGGTGGATGCTTAGAACGAAAATGGAATTAGATTGGTAGAGTTTCGTCAATCAAACAATCTTATTGTGTGAAATACATTTTTTTGACACAAACATGTACATCTAACATTTTGGATGGATCGGGAAAAGAAGATCTGGCACATATTAGATTATACATTAATTAATAAGAAGTTTCGGTTAACAATTGAGGATGTTAGATTCTATAGAATAGCAGCAGATGGAATAGGAATCAACCATGATTTGATGTGATCCACAATCAAACTGTACTTACAATCAAGAAAAACAATTAGAAAATGATAGAGCTTTAGAGGCCTACCAGAAAGATATAACAAAATCATATGAAGAAATAAAAAGAACACAATCGAGCCTCAATGACCAATATTCTGACTTTGTAAAATATGTTAACAAAACCACAGGGAAACATTTAGTTGTGGAAAAAGGCATCTACAAGAAATGAAATAATAGTCGATCGACGAAATCTTGCAAGACATAGAAAAGAAATTCTCGGAATTTCTCAACTGCCACAATCATTGTGGAACATCTAAGGAAAAGAATCAAAAGAGTAAGCATGTGGCATTAAGAAAAGTTGTGAAACAGTTGATAAATGTGCGACAAGATGAATATTGGGATAAATTAAGTGAAGATATTGAAGCAGCAATTATCCAGCACAATCCAGCAACAGCCTATGCAGTGATTCGAAGATACAGAGGTGGTAAAAAAAACGTCGAAAACATGCCAATCAAGGAAAAAAACGGTACGGCACTTGTAAAGCCTGGTGCCCAACTGACAAGATGTCGTGAATATTTCAAGGGACTACTGAATGTAAATAGTGTCATTAATTCAAATATTATTGATCAAATCTCATCACCAAGCATCTTATCAATAGAACAGCAACGGCGACAAAAATCACCTGCGTTGCAAGTAATACAACCGGCATCAAGACAGATGGAATTCAAGAAGGCGACCGACAACGATGAAATTACAGCTGATATATTAAAAGTAGAAGGCAAATCAATTATCAAATGGCCTTATCAAATATTGGTCGGTATATGGGAAAATGAACAAATAGTTGATTACTGGTCATCGGCAATATTGATTCGTCTTTTCAAGAACAAGGACGATAAAAACGTCTGCGACAACCACTGCACCATGTTTCTATTGAATGTTTTAAGTAAGCTCTTCACTCGGGTGATTCTTATTTGTGTTCAAGAACTGGTTAATCAACAGATTTTAAAACAACCCATGTAAAAAAAGACGCCCAAAACGTCAGATTAAAATCTATTATAATGGCACTATTTTAATCTGATTAAAATTAGATTTTTTAGCATTAAAAGAAAAAATTATTTTGATTTTAATCGATTACCAAAATGTAACAATCAATTTTAATGGATTAAATTTCGGTAATCGGTTAAAATAGTTTAGAATCGAAATAATTTTTTCTGTTAATGCTGAAAAATCTGAATTTTATCAGATTAAAACAGTGCCATTATAATGGATCATTAATCCGAAAATAATCCATTATAATCTAATGTAGAGTCGTTTTTTTTACATGGGAATAGGTAGGCTTTCGATCAAACCAATCAACGATTGGTCAAATATCCAAGGTGAAAATGATGATGGAATCATGTGTTTCATCGACATTCCAAAAGCATATAATTCTGTGAATAGAGAATAACTCTGGATATTATGTGGGCATTATCGATTAACGGGCAAAATTGTCCGATTATTAAAGTTAATGTATAATGATTCCAATGCAAAGGTATGGATTACTGGTGAAGCATCTGAAAGTTTCAAGATTGAAACAGGTATCATGCGAGATGAAATTCTCTCCTTGGTCCTCATTAACATCTTATTCCCTCTACTGAAAGGAGGGTCATACGCTGAGTGAGTTATCTTCGTTCGTTCATTAGAGCGCTGGAGGTGAGCTAAGTTTATTCATTAAACTATGTGAGACAAAGTTTAACCAAAGGTTTCTGGGGTTGGGGAATCCGAATCCATGATTAGTTTTTTGAAATTTTGTACTGTATGCTGCCGTGAATAAGGCACTTTGTTTCAGAAACAATTTGTGTCAAAACTTCATCGATTCACGGAATCAGAAGAATAGTTTGGAAGACATTCATTGCTGAGTTCGAAATATCGCTGATAGAGTGAAGGGTTCTGTTGCATTTGCATCCTATGCATTATGTTTTGCAGAAGTTTAAATAGGTTCGTATTGATCTCAGAACACTTTGTTTTCCAATATGAGATCGGTTTTAGCTCGCACTTTGCGACTCATTTCAGTGCAGACGAAGCTCAGTTTTCCTAACTGAGCTTCAAAATAAGTCGTTCTAACAAAGTTTGTTATCGTTGCTGCAACTTCAGATGAAAGGTGCTACTCGCCCAGGAAAAGTATCTATGGCTTCATTCTCAGGTCACATACTGCTTCAGCGCATGCGTGTTCAGTAATGGAATGTAATACCGACAGATGGTTGCAGCTATTAATTTTTCTTTTTGTACTAATGCATGCATGAAGTTTTTACTTTAATAGATTACTTATAGAAAGATCACCAAACAATGAAGATAACAAAGCTGAAAACAGCTGGCAATGAATTGTGCTGTAAATAATAAATGTGTCATTGTTCATAGACTATAACTACATTAGAACGGTAGTAAGACACAAATTATCTAAAGAATTGAAGGAAAACGTTTTTGAGTGTTTTTTGCAATCGTGTCTAATCGATTGAGTTCCTCTTCTTGTGCTGCTGATGGCTTCACGTGTAGAGATGAGAATTCAAAAGAAAGCACGATCGGGGAGGTCATCAAGGCGTTTAACACGAGATAATGGAACGTAAATTGATGCGACTTCAACTGAACCAGGTGGCGTGACGAGATCAACAATAATTTTGTTAAGCGTTTGACCTTGGCTTTTGTGTGTTGTTATGCTATAGGCAGGTATTAACGGAAGAGCTTTACGCTTGATCAAAATTTTTGTTGTTCGTTTTATCACTTTGGCAATTTTTGAAAGAGTTTCGTGAAGAAGCTCCTTAATATAAAAAACAAACGTTTTTTCACTGACAGCGACCGGAATTATTTTTATTTGTAGCTCTTTGAGTTCAGAATCAAGCTTGCAACTCGAGAACTCTAGCAAACCATATTTTGGGTGTGTTATAAACTTAGTATGCTTTGGGAAAACTGTTTTGTCGAATTGAATGTCGCCACTCAATTCATCATATACAAGCTGACAAAATATACCACACGCACCATTGGAGAGTCCAAGTTCAGTCGCAATATTTTTTGTTAGTAAAACGGGAATCCCTGGAGCGAGAGGTAAGTAGCCTGGAAGATGCTCTGTTTTATTGGCAGGTAGTTCGAGAATCGCTTTGCGTAATTGTGAATCTTCAATCTTTGTCCCTTTAACGTAATCTTGAGTATGGCAAAACGATCGGCCTAACTTCCATCTCCATTGCTTTATTCCGCACGGCTCTATTGTTAATTTGAGTACGAAGTGCGTTCCGAAAAACGAGTATTGGAGCCTATAAAAGAAAATTTAATGACATACAGAAAAGACTGGATAAACATACTTCTTTCCACGAGTTCTGTTGCAAAGATGCTTGAAGATTCGGAGTTCCGATGACCCGTGTACAAAGAAGTCTATAATCTTCAATAGTCGACTGCCCTTTTCTCAATCTGTTTAAGAGTTCCAAATACCGCACGTTTTCGGTTTGCATTTGTTGGTTTAATTCAAAAACGCTATTAATTTGTGATATAGCTTTACATCACCAAAAGGAGCATCCGAATTTATGTGCTTTGCCGTTTTCACTATTCGATTAAGTCGACCTAATAGACTAAGTCCTACCATACTCATCTCATCGATTATCAAGTATTTTACGTGGCGCCAGATCTGAATGTTCGTGTTTGCTTTTTTTTGTAATTTTTGCAAATCTCACCTAAAAATGAATGAATAGTCGATCCATCAATCTCTGCCGCTGCTATAGATGTTGGTGCCAGTTTACGCAGCATTTTGAGTCTCTTCTTCACTTGAAAATACTTGGTGATTGCACGAATCAATTGAGATTTTCCAGTACCACCACAACCAGGTACGCAGATCAGTAACTGATTATCGCTAGTGTCTAAATAATTATGGTCAATGATATTNACGATGAAAGCAGAACATTATTCTATACTTCTCCAGATCGCTAGCATTACCCTCAATTTGTTTAAAAAAATGTATATTGAAAAAAAAGCTATATTTATAAAGAATACAGACAGGCCAGGCAGCCTGGTGTTTTAAGCGGCCTGCCTGGCCTGGTTGAGGGGTCGGCCTGGCCTGCCTGTCATAGGCCAGGCCTAAAAAACGTGGCCTGTGCCTGTGACAGGCAGGCAGGTAGGCAGGCCCAGACAGGCAGGCAGGCCTAGTGGCCTGGTTGGACCTCTGATTCACTCTTATCCAGCCCTTGATCTCTCTTCTTTCTGTTTCTTCTTTTTTCTCTCTTCTCTCATGTATAATATATACGTGAAAAGATATGTAAACATTGGTTATTTTCTGTATTCAAATAAACAGAAGCTGATCGGAGACGAGGTAAGGTACGTTCACAATATATTTTCATATAACATTCGATTTTCTTTAGGAAAAATGTTCAAAGGAAAATTTACCGGTGTTTCTAATCGATCATCATCATCTCGTCGTTCAACATCAAATTCTTCTTCAGCTAAAACAACATCTGCTGTACCACCACGTACTGATCAACTATCTATGCCACCAGCTAAACCACGTGAATTAGAAATATGATTATTACAAATCATTAAAACTTATTTCTATCTTTTTGTTTTCCTTTTAGGCAACATCATCTGATAAATCATCTGCCGAATATCAACGTGCGAAATGGGAATCATTAGAAACAAACATCAATCTTCTTGTTGGTGAAGCAAATCAATCAAATATATGCCCCATTATTAATTTATTATTCAAATAGAATATCGTTCGTGGTTGTGGTCTTTTTGCTCGTAGTGTAATACAAGCACAATCAACATCACCTGCTCTTACATCGGTCTATGCTGCATTAGTATCAATTATTAATCCATGGATTGAAGTAATTGGTGAATTAATCGTGAAACGAATAATATCATCATTTCGTCGACAATATGAAAGTAATGATAAAGCCAAATGCTCGTCAACAACAAAATTTATTGCACATTTGGTTAATCAAAATGTGGTATGTATTATTAAAAAGATAAAAAAAATATTTCCTACTTTTCTTTTTCTATTTAGTTACATGAGTTAATTGCATTACAGATATTAGTTCTCTTACTCGAAAATCCATCTGACGATAATGTTGAATTGGCGATTGGATTCGTAAAAGAATGTGGACAAAAATTATGTCAAGTTAATCAACGTGGATTAAATTCCATATTTTCAACATTAAAAAATTTACTTAATAAATCATTAAACAAATGTACACGAGATATGATTGTAGATTTATTTGCTGTGTGAGAAGATCAATTTAAAGAAAATCCAGCTATTCCAACTGGTCTTAATTTAGTGCATGAAAATAATCAATATACACATATGATTACTTTAGATGCATGTGAACCTGAACCAATACTTGGTATGATTCATATTCAATAAAATATTTTGTTTATTCTTCTTCGTTTTGTTTAGATGTATTTAAATATGATGAAAAATATGAAGAACATGAAGAACAATATAATATTATTCGAGAAATGTTTTTTCATAAAAGTAGTGATGATGAAAATAAATTCAATTCATCTGTTAGTAATGATGAAGGTGATGGAAAAAAAGATAATATTGATGAAGAGGAAAGTAAGTCGAATTAGTCATTTGTACCATTAAATTAATATGTTTCTTTTAAAAGAAAAACAACAAACAATTATTGATGAAACAGAAACAAATTTAGTAATATTTCGTCGAACAATATATCCAATAATTCAGTCAAATATTAATGCTGAAGAATGTGCAAATGAATTACTTAAAATGAATTTACGTCCTGAACAAAAAGTATGTTTTTGAAATATTGAATTAGTTTTTGTATAATTTAAATTTTAGATGGTATTATGTCAAGTGATTCTTAATAGTTGTGCTCAACAACGAACACATGAACAGTTTTTTGATTTACTTGGTCAACGAATTTGTGTATTAAAAAAAAGTATATGTTGAATACTTTGAAAAACTTTTTCAAGATCAATATGAAATTGTTCATAGTCTTGAAAATGTTAAATTAAGAAATGTTGCCAAATTTTTTGCACATTTACTTGTTACTAATTCTATTTCATGGGATGTATGTATTCATTTTTAATATCAAATAATATTTATTCTTTTCTTTCTAGGTACTTCGTTGTATTCGTTTAACTAAAGAAGATACAACATCATCATCACGTATTTTTATTAAAAATGTACTTTTAGAAGTAATTGAATTTCTTGGTTAACCAAACTTAATAATCGTTTAACTGATCCGTAAGTTATCGAAAGATAAAATAATAAAAGTTAATCTCTTGTTTTCTATTATAGAACATTGACAGAATATTGCCAAGATCTTTTTTCCCATGATAATTTAAACAATACATGATTTTCAATCAACTTTTTTACAAGAATTGGCTTAGATGGATTGACATAGAAAAACAATAAAAAAAGAAGTTTTTCTTAAATATGTCTAACAACTAAATAGTTTAAGTTGATAATTTGTATTTTTATGCATAAAAGAGTCATTATTAATCGATGAAAAACATAGTAAACGTGCTGCTTTCATCATTAACTGTTGATGCTGCATTTCTATTCGCATTCGATTATCCCAAATTCTTTCAAATAAAAATTTTTCTTGATCAGTTGGTTCAAATGATAAAGAAGAAGAACAATCGACTTCTTGCGGTTGTTGTTGTTGAATACGAGGTCTTTCTTGAGCAATTTCTTGTTTTTGAACAACATTAGAAGTATTATTTGGTTTATTTTCAATATCTTCAGAAGGTTTAGATTTTGTACAGAAACTAATGATAAACCATTTCCTATATATTTTTTAATGTTTCCTTATATTCATCATATAAAGAATCGTTCAATAAAAAATCATAGAAGAATTGGAAGGGTGTGGGTGTGGGTGTGGGTGTGTGGATGTGGGTATGGGTGAAGATCTCCCTTAATGAAGTAATTACACACACACTTCTCGTCCACCCACCCACACCCACACACCCACACCCACACCCTTGAATTTGATATCGATATAATATTCTATTTGATAATGACGGATATTGATCAGTTCGACGAAGATAACTTTTAAACCATCGACTTAAAATTTGAGAACAATCAATCTAAAAATTTTATTTTTGTTTTTCAGATTTTTAGATAAAAAGAAAATCCAAACCACAATAATAGCTGTTTTTTGTTTCATTAAATGATTGTTGTAATAAATCGAGAACAGTAAGAATTTCATATCGGACTAATGGATGAGTGACATTCAATGAAATAATAACATTTCCTTGAAAACAAAAAAAAAATTCATTCAAGAAGAATATTTATTAAATAAATCTACCGTGAATTGATGGTTGTTTTGTATTACGTTTAGAATATTTCAGTTTACAAACAATAATCCATTCTTTAGAATTTGTTAATGGAGGAATTAAAGCTTGAAGTGCAGCACCAGATGTGATTAATAAATGTCTAATATTGTAAAAAAGAATAAGAATTTTTTTTTTTATTTTGTCTAACCTTGAAAAATGATTATTTGATTTATTATAAAGACTAATTTTCTTTCAATCTACATCATCGGCAACAGAGATCCGAAAACTCGCCTCGTGCCACTGCTCGCGTCTACGCCAGGTACATGCCTAAGTTTCTTTTTACTCTACGAATAAGTTTCTCAACAACCTACGAACATCAGGATGGTGTAAGCACGCGTTCCACAAATCTCTGACAAATGTAGCTTAAGTGCAAGCAGTAGCGCGGGGAGGCGCGAGACGAGTTTTCGGATCTCTAGTCCCGATCATCGAAAAAATGGATGTAGAAAATGAATTTAGTAACAATCAAAATTGGACTAATCATTCAATGTCCCTATTTCTCCATGTAAAAAAAATATGAATAATCAATAAACACAGAAAAAAAATTTACTAACAATCGAAATTTAACCAATCATTGCATGTTCTCAAGTCCACATCATGCAAAAGAAACATACGATTGTAAAAGGTCGAATTTCAGCGGCAAACTTTTGCATACCAAATCATTCTCTGACATTCTGAGAAATGCAACGTTCACTAGTTAAAATATCCATCATCACAAATACAAACTTATATAATAAGACAGTAAATAGAATTTTTCATAATTACATATTAGACAAGAAATTCATTTGACATACAATAATATTTATCAATTTTTATCATCAAAGTAAAAAGAATGAACATAAATTGCATAACAAACAAAGAAAATATCTTGCATACATAACAATGAAATTTGCAAACCAATAAACAAAATTAATGCATTCCAATCTCAACGAAATCCGAGTCTCAACTGCAACATAAACAATAGTTTACAACGGCAGTAAAGGATACGGCAATACATCGTGTAATACAATGCCTACTAAAAATCTTATAAAGACTTAAAAAAAAAAATTCATCCGAAGATTTGAACTCAAAAATTGCTTTACGTAGAGAATATTCATATTTTTGCTAAGATAATGCAATATTATGAAAGTCAGTCAAGTATATGATAAAAGATTAATACATCAAAGAGTTCTATTGAGAAAAAAACTGCGTTAATGAAATTTAAAACAGGAAAGAAAGGAAACAGTTTAAATATTGCAAACTCTTTCGAAAATCAATGCTTTCATATGTTGCAAATATAACAAACGATAACCTCCGATGAAGTTTTCGTATTTACCAAATATTTCTACATTTGTATTCTATCAATAGTTGTACCATCAATAATTCAAATTCATCTTTATTATTCGAGAAAATCTTCAGAAAAAAAAAATTCAGACATAAAATTATCTATAACAACAAAGTAAAAAGCAGGTAAAACATCAGAAATGGTTATAATTTATTTTTTGTCCTTTGGCCTTGAAGTCAGGTTGAAATTTCTATTTTTTTTTCTGTCTTGATGTTTTTTGCTCTTTTGTATTTTTTTATGCGATAAAACACATTTTTGTTGTGTTACGGTTATGATTATAAAGAGGCAAGACTCGCTACAATTTACTCTATTTTAAACAGCGATAGCTATTAACAAATAGAAGGGATGATTCATTTTATGTATACACGCACTTGTCTTATCTTGATTTTTTTATATCACTTTTACGTATTTCTTATATTTTTCTTGATTGAATATGTAATTATTCATAGTAATTATCGTTTGCGAATAGCGATTTAATCATTTTTTTCTTATTCGGGCTGTCATAAAAAAAAATGGAGATTGATATACAAACTGAATGTTCGCTAGCAATGGTGTCGAGCATAACGACTAACAAATGAAATAGTCAGAAAAATAAGCATATTTATTCACAGGTGCTAGAACTGCTTATTAACGATAATCTTTGATCAAAAGAACCTATAAGTTTTATTAAGAATGCAAAAAATTACTAAAAAGTCGACAAAAATGAAGAAGATGAAAATAAAGATTTTTATATCAATATAGAAGTAGATGATAACAGTGAATAACTTTCATTAAACGTAAATATTAGAAACAGCACTAGACATGGGGAAAATCGACATGTTTTGAACAAGAAGACCATGAACCAAATTTTCATCATGACTTCTTTGTTTGAAATATTTGCAAGTGTGACTGAAATCAAGTACAAATTAATACATATGAATAACTAATTTAACTCTTTTTAAGAAGATAATGAAAAATTTTATTGTCTTTCATGAAAATGCGTCCGATTCCAATATTCCTGGAACTGAATCAGAATCGTATATCCCTAAATAGCACTTCTGAACTTAGTTATTAAAGTGTTTCATAGATATTAAATATGTTACTTTTTTGTATAAATTCGTTGTCATCTATGTCAAATATATCAGCTGGGAAAAACGCATGTTACACTTATTTCTTTCAACCTTTTCATAAATCCATTTGGATGAACTATTACTAATATTATATCATTCTATAGTTTATAGTGTCCTCTAGCAAACATCTAAGTGTAGATTCAGAAGAAATATTTAAACAAACCATTTCTCAATCTGAATTCGAAATTAACGAACTACAATTCCATTTTCGTTTCATTCTCTATTGAATTTTTCACAGATGAAGCAAAATTTTAAGTTAAATAAATCTCCTTAAAATCTATCTATATATCTTATGAGACTAGATTTTATTTTTTGAAAAAATTTTGTTTTCAAACTAATTCATCAAAGATAGAACTAAACTCTCATTGCAAAATCAACTACAACTTCTATTATATCGGTCTGTTTCTATCTAAATATCACACGGTAAATTTGACGGTAATAGAGAAACATTCATATTGAATCGTACTAAAACTATTTTGACTACATAAATATATGTTTGTATACTAAATTCTAATGATGAAAACTTTGACAAGTATGATTTCTTCTATAATTGATATAGTGATATGCATTTGAAACAAGATTATAATTGGTGAACTATGTAAAAAAAATACTACAGCTAGCATGACTATTAACTTTCAAGCTTTGTTTCATCGATATTTAGCATGAAAACCATAGATACAAGATTTTTGTAAGAAATCATGATAACAAGAATTCAATGAATTAGTTATAATTATATAAGAAACAAAAATATATCACAACATTTCTTCATTATTTATATCGTCTGTTGTTTTTTGAAATTCAATTTCAATTGTTTTTTGATTTCCAGTATTTGAAAATGACAAAAACCAACTTGTTCGAAAATCAGATTTTTTCCATTGAGAATGAAATTCTATTGTAAGATAAATTGTAAATACTCCCCTAGAGAACAAAAAAAAAAAACACCAACAAAAATATTCATATAAATTCGATAAATTCTTTCATTTTTACTTTTCTTACCATCCAATTCTTGTCAAACAAAATGGAGGTTTATCAAGAATAATCTGTGATGGCGTAAATGTTGGATGTAAATTAATTGTAACTTGTTTAATATACTGACTAATATCATCTTGATCATCATTATTTAATTTAACAAAAAGTGTCCATTCATGTCTTGTATAATCATAATCACAGGACAATAATTGATGTGTATTTCCAACAATTAAACGTTTTTTAATAATTTGTTTACGTTCATTTTCAGTTTCAATTCGTCTTATTTCATATTCTTTTTCATATTGTTGTCGAAATAAATTATGAAGTATTGCATTTGCTTTTAAATGACTAGATGAAGAACGAAGATAATTTAAATCATCTCGACATATTGGACATTGTAATATACGTTCTGATGTTAATATAAAACGTTCCATACATAATAGACAAAATGTATGTCCACATAATGTTGATATTGGTTCAAAAAGTAGTTTTAAACAAAATGGACAATCTCGATAGACATTTAATATATCAATATTCATCTAAAATAAGATATTTAAATAGAATCAACAAAAAAAATGCCATTATTAGAAATTTCTTTGAAATAAAATAAATGAATCACACCGGTAAAACAAAATAAAAGAACAAAAATCACCGAAAATAAATTTAAAAAAAAAATATTCAACTTTATGAAGTCTTTTTAACAATATGCACTGGTCGAGATGGAGAATTTTCGTGTAAATTCTAAGAAGAGAAAAATTCATTTTTTTCTTTATTAATGAATATAATAATAATTATTCTCACTGTTGGTGATAAACGCATTGGACTTATTTCACGAATCTGAGAATTCGATGACATATGTGTTGAAACATTCAAATGATGATGATATTGATATGGCCAAAATGGACGAGATACATACTAGAATAAAAAATAATATTTATTCGAAGAATATATCAGAATATTTACAGGTCGTTCTCGATGAGTTTTTCTTGATGACCGGCTAACACATAAGGATAAATGGTTCGTTGCATTACCCATCGTTAATGAACGAATCATTCTCTCGTTCTCATAATACTGTTATCTGAAGAAGAAAAAAATAACACCAATTGTACGGGAAAAGAAAAAAAAATTATCGCTTAATGAGATTCTGTCAAAAGTTCTTTCAAAGTCAATTCATTTGCCACTAAAAAACAGAAAATTAAATAAAAATTAAAAAAGAAGATATATATGATATTTATTTACTCGAAGACCACCATTATCATTGGTTTCTCTAGGTAATTTTGTTTGTTGTTGTTCAATACGTTCACGTTCACTTTGACGTTGTTTCATTCGACGTAATTCATCTTCATCAACACCACGTCTTTCATTCTGCTGTATACGACGATTAGCCGCTTCAGCTGCTGTTTGTCGACGAGTGTCCTAGAACAAAAATAATAATAAATTCCATATAAGACGATTGAATTATTTGTTATTCAATAGGATTGAAAAATAAAAACAAAATTTTAGTTACTCATTCATTCATTCAAATCAATTATTTATTAAATATGATTACTATCAACTTCGACTAGGATTTTATTTTTTTCTACAGTCAACAGGAGTCATGTCAATTTGTCAACAATCATAAAATGATGAGCTTCAATTATTTAACTAAAAAGTGAAAACAATGATTTACTAAAGATGATCAATTTCCTTTTCGAATACTAATCGACGTTATGAACAAAAAACAAAACATATTACAGAGCAAGAAACAATACAAGAAGATTTTCGCAATAAGACGAGTCTAATAAACTGAGAATACCATGTCAGGTGTAATCACATTCTCTGAATGAGAACTTTGTTCACTGTTTGAACCACGAAAACAATCGAGAAGTAAACCCATTAGACGAATTTATTATGAATTTGTATAGAGAAAACCGCCAATTCTTTTTTTGTATTACTTGTTATGCTCTATAAATCTATTAAGACACATGACTCTTTTTTTCCTCTGTCAATGATTTTTCATATGAATCATTTCATAATAACGTAAACCTATCATGATCAAGGTCTGCGCTCTATTGTAGAAGTACGACATCTATAGAAGATTTAGCAAATACAAGAAGCAATAGAAGTTTGTTTTTGTTATTATAACTGAAGAATATTTTTGCTTTAGATACACATCCAAATCACACATACTCAAGAGTCATAGCATAGGTCAATAAAGATGCATATAAACAAAATCATAATAAATATCATTTTATTTGCATGCGAATACAAATTTTATGACTTTATCAAAAGAAAAAAAACATTCTTTTTTTATATTTTTTTTCAACTATAGAGCGACAAAACTGAATGAAATTGTGTGACAAGAAATCAAAATGGCTGGTGTGCAAAGAAAAAAAAAGTTTATTGTATTTGTTACTGTGTCAATAAATACTACCCTGTAAAAGTCAGACAAACGAACAGAATAAAAGACATTTTTTCAAAATACAGAATCATAAAATATGACAACAACGAATAGCAGTGAGTTGTTCCGTGCTTGTCATGATGGTGATGTAGCTACCGTCAAGCGTTTACTTCCTCTTACTTCTCTTGATGCTTTAAATAGACTAGAATCAAATGGAAGTTCTTGTCTTCATGTTGCTTGTGATAATGGTCATTTAGAAATAGTTCGTCTTCTGCTCGACTATGGATCATCTCGTCGAATAAAAGATAGAAAGGGTCATATCCCTTTAGATCTAGTAAAAACAAAAGAAATTTCTGAATTGTTTCCTCGCCCAGAAGAAGCAGCAGCAGAACGTTATGGTGTAAATCCCATGAATCAAGTTGAGTGGTTATTGGACCAAGATTATGCTGAATCACTTGCACGTGCTATTGCATGGGGATGTATTAAGGATCGTGGTATTAAAAAAGCAGTGAAAAAAATGGAACAGGCTGGTATATTAGATGATAATCAATCGAAAGAAAATAAATTAGTTAGATTTTATTTAAATGAAGCAGTAGAAAAAAATGATCCAACATTTTTCTTGAAAATCTATACAATAGAAGGACCGTTCTTTAGTGACTTTAATCAATATATGGCGGAAGGTAGTAGAAAAAAAGTATACAAAAAATTATGTGGTAAATGGAGTGGTTATTACATCGGTGTTATTTTGAAAAATCCTTCACTTGAACGTTATCATTTTTCAGGAATAACCTATCGAGGTATGCAAATAACTCTAAAAGATCTTGAAAAATACAAAATTGGTTTTGCATTAACAAACAAAGCATTTCAATCGACATCAAAATTAAGGAAAGTTGCCGTACATTTTGCACGTCGAGAAAAACCACGATTAGAAAGCGTCCGTATTATTATTGTTTATTCGATTCTTGATCCAAAATCAGGACTTGATATTTCATCGATATCAGAATATCCAGATGAAGAAGAAGTTCTTATGGTTCCAGGTACTTGCTTCAAAGTGGTTCATGTTGATAAAAATGGACCAGAATATGAAGCTCACCTTCGACAATTAGTATGGACTGATGAATAGTTTTTATAATTTTTAATCTTCGAAATAAAGAATTTATTTGACAATTGATACTTGAATAATTAAATTAGTTTCTAAAAGACAATTTGTTTCTTTTTTATAAAGCCAAGTTTCAAATGAAACTAAAAATTTATTTTTAATACTTTGTTTATCACTTAATTGTTTTTTTTCTTCTAATAAACATAAATTTTATATGTTAAGTTCAATGACATTATTCGTCATGAATAGTAATTGTTTTATTTTTAATTCATTTAGAAAAAAGAAAAAATCAAAATTACATTAAACATAATAAAAATTTTATAAGGCTTCTTTTATAATAAAAACTATAAGAAAATCAAAACAATATGAGTTCATTGTGTGTAATGATATATCCAACCAAGTACTTCTCGATACCAAACAAGTGAATTGAATGGATTTAGTGTCCAATGATTTTCATTTGGTAAATAAAGCATACGACTTGTAATATTACGTCGTTGTAAAGCTGTAAATGCACCAATTCCTTGTGTATCAGGTACCCGATAATCATGACCACCATGAATAATTAACATTGGTTGAGTCCAATTTGCCACATGATTAACTGGATTATATTTTTCAAATGCACTAGAATTTCCATAGGGAGTAAAGCCACCAGCATCATGTTCACTAAACCATAATTCTTCGGTTGAATAAGCCATTCCTCTCATGTCAAATAAACCATCATGACAAACAAGAGTTTTGAAACGTTGACTCATTTCTGGATGTCCAGCAATCCAATTTATCATAAATCCACCATAACTAGCACCTAATGCAACAGCCCTATTTCCGTCAATATATTTATAAAGATTCAAGGCTGCTGTAAGTCCTAATTGTAAATCTTCATAAGGTAATGTACCATATTGACCTGTAATACTATCGGTAAACTTTTGTCCATATGAGTCAGATCCATGAAAATTAATAGCAATAACAGCATAACCTTGTGATGAAAATGATTGAAAATTCCAACGATAACTCCATGCATCATACCAACTACTTTGAGGACCGCCATGTATAAGAAAAGCAAGTGGAGCGTTTTGAGCTGTACCATTCACCGGTTGTACATGCCATCCCCATACTGTTTCACTTTTTGAACCTGAAAAATTAAACATTCCAACTACTGTACTCATTCGTACTTTGGCCAAAAGATTATTATTATGAACAGTAACAGGTTTCATTGATGTTGGTGACGTATATAAATAAATATTAGCCGGTTGAGTAATACTTTCATAAGTAAACACAAATGTTTCATTGTTTGTTGGATGAATATTAATGTCATGTGACGAACCACTGTTTGTAAGACGCATGAGAACAGATGTAGTAGAGAAGATATTGGATAATTGATAAATGACATTACATGCTTTTTCACCTATTTCAAAAAAAAGTGATTCTCCATCTGATGACCATGTAACTGCTTGAATACTACGATCCCCATTATCAAATACAGTCATTTGCTTATCTGAATCTAATAAAATACAAAAAAAAAAAAAAAAAGAAAAATTCAAAATGAATGTGATTAGAAAAGAGTAAATCATACCATTGTACAATGCAACTTTAAATTGATCAGATTCATAACCAGGAACTGATTGGAATCGATAGACTAAAATGTTATCATCATTTGGTGAATATGATGGATCTGTATCAGCTGCCATATTGTTACATGTAATGCATGCAGGTTCTGAATTATTTGTTTTTAAATCAACAGTAAATATATCTAAATTAGTTGACCAAGCAACTTGACTTGTTTCATCATGTTGTCTTGTAAAAGCAAATTTATTTCCACTTTCACTAAATGACCATTGACTTTTAGCATCTCCAAATGGTCTTGTTGGTGAATCACTATCAGTACCAAAGAGAACGTCGACAGGTGTAGATGTAAAGTTAAATATTCCTTTGGCATCTCGTTGAATTGAAACAATAAATGGATGATGACGTGGCCCGAGCATATATTCATCCCAATGACGAATAAATAATTTATCAAATATATAGACTAAACTACCACTAGCTTTGTCATTAGCTTGACGATCAGCTGTTTGTTGAATAGTTAAATTAGCAAAAACTTGACAACTAAATGCGAGACGTGTTGCTCGACGATTTACAAGTAGATTATCAATATCTAATGGATAATTAGTAATTTGTATTGGATCAAGAAAATTACCCATAGTCATAGTTGACACATTATCGGGTAAATTTAATTGAAATAATTGATTAAGACCAGATGCTGCTCGGTTAGATAGAAAAAGAATGGTTTTATCGTCTATCCAATAGAACTATAATGAAAAAAAAGAAGAAAAAAAGACATGATTCAATGCCATATGATAAGCAAAATTCTTTTCTTTTCTTCTTATTAAATAATCTTACTTGTTGATCATTAATACCCCAAATAGGTCGTGTCAACTGAACATTTTTATTTGTTTCTAAATCAATCCAATGAAGAGTTGTTGAAGATCCATTTAAATCAGGCATATGATATTGTTTTCTGAGATAAATAATCGTCTTTCCGTGTATTGGATGGTAGCGAGGAGATGAAAGACGATCCAAACGAAGATTATCTGCTTGATTAAAATCATGTGTTGTTGTCAATTGTTCATAATATTCACTATTCGATAGATAATCACTGCCATTCCAAGCAGGAGGTCCTGGTGGTGTTGGAGGACTAGGACAATTTACTTTACGTAGAATAAGAATCAAAGCAGGTATTAATACTATTACTGCACCCAATAAAAATACAAAAGTGAAACAAAGACACTAAATCAAAATAGAAACAGTTTTTTAAGTAAACGTATTAAAGAATAGCAAACCTTTTTGGCTTTTGACTTTGATGGATAGCCTTTCCTATCGTCATTTATAAGATAAATATTGTCTCCACTTGGCATTGTATTGATGATGATGATGATCGATGCGAATATGAAAAGTGAGACCAACAAAAAAAAGTGTGCCTTTATCTATATATTGTTATACTTTTAAATGATAAGGACAACAAATAGAAGGATCCAGCAAAAGATAATAAAAAAAAAAGAACGGTGGACTTTAGACAAAGTAAAGAAAGCAAACATTTTTAATAGCTCACACCTTGAAATTCAAGTAACCTTTAATCATCAATGTCAACTTAAGATCTGACGAAAGTTAAGCTCGTTTATACTTTGAATGTATCACATACAGTGTTAATATTCTCGTATATAAATCATTGATCTTTTCTATAAAGTTGGAGGAAAAGAAAAAAGAAAATATTTGTACATTGAACAACGATGGTCAACAATCGAAGTAAATCAACCGACAATATAAAATATTTTTCTTTTTCATATTGATACAAAAAACACAAAATCTTTGAGAGTCAATTTAGAAAAAATTATATTTTACTCGCAAAGTATTTATAAGAAAAATAAATTCTTTTTATTGTTGCTATTGGAACAATAAAAATAATTCATATAGATGCATTTTAAAAGGAACAAAGTACAATTCGACTCATGGAAGATTGAATATATTCATTAGGCGTGCACGGACTTTAATCATTGAAGCAATTTTTCACTTTCTTTTATTCTGGATTATATTAACGATATATTTCATTTGTGTTCTTCATGATGGCTTGATTTTGAGATAAAAAAAAAGAAGCAGAATTTTTTCAAATAAATGATAAGTAATTATTCTTACTCAGATCTCTGAATATATAGTTCATTTTAGAGACAGAAAATTCATTCCTCTTTGGAGAAAATCGTTCTGTGTAGAACTAAATACACTTTCGTTGAATAGTCAGTAGGGCATTCAGATATTTATCTCTCAATACTGTGTATTATATGGTCTTGAAACATCATTCTACAACAAAGATTCTAAAACATTATTGTTACAGTGTGTTCTTCTGTAACATCTACCTCGATCCTATCTATTCTCTTTTTGCTATTTTCGTTTCGTTTCTTTTATTTCTTTTCTTTTCTTTGTCCTTGATTAACCTTTGTCATCTTTTCTATTTTGTCCATGTTTTGCATTTGCGTATATAAACTCTTGTTTTGTAAAAGAATAAACAGAGAGAATAAACCACACGCACACACGTTAACTGTGTTCGTCGCTCTTCGTGAGCATGAACGCTAACAATTATATAAATATTTGCAAGTGTTGATGAGACTATAAAAGAATTTCAACGATAGAAAAGCCTGTCAAGACGCTTTATAAGATATTTTAAGCTTCGGAAAATTTCATGAGACTTCTATAACAATAAAGTCAACAGTCTTATCTTTTGACAGAGTGCTGAATGCACTGTTTTCAGGTGTATGGTAGAACTAAATAAGTTATAGTCCGCTTTGGTAGGTAGCTCTTGAATAGTTACACTTCTCAAACCCAGATAATCATTGAAGAGTTATTGGTTGCACCTTAAAGTCGTCCTTGAGAGTTTCAAATATCATCCTAGTGTAGCCTTTGTCAGAAGAAGTTTTCAACAACTCCTTAGATCGAAAATCTTATCGAATTGTTTTTACATTCCTAATCATTGATGAGAAACAAGTGGCGAAAGTAGCTAGTATAAATACAAGTGGATCTAAGCTCAAAATTAAATTATTTGATTAATCTTAGTATAGAAACCAAACCCAAGCTTCGAAACAGTTTGTGTTTGAGTTTAGGTCAGATGCATGTTTAGGCGAGTGAGTGTTTACAATGTGAATGGAGGGTATTGATGTTAGCGTGGATCTTCACTTCACACTCACAACCCCTATATATATTAATAGAAAAGTTCAAGCTCTATCCGAGTAGGTGATCACTTTTTAGAAAACTATATCTGTAGTAATAATGAATTTCAAAAATTCATTGAAGAAACAGTGATAAAATACAGTCCTTAAGATCTGAAGATGAGGATGCATTTATTACATTTAATTTTTTTTCATCCAGTAAACACGCGTTAAAACATATATATAGGGTGAGGGAGAACTCCGAGCACTTCCAGATTACATAATTATTTTTTAATGAGTTTCTATAATGGGAATATATTTTTAGAACTGACTAAA